GAGCAAAATTCCTTTAGAATATCGTATATAATGACCAAAATATGACGCAATTTTAAGAAAAAAATGTCACTTTCTGGCTTATAATAAAGTTTCAAATGCAACGTTTATATTCAAATTTGTTATGATCTACAACAGTTAAGTAGTAATTGAGACGAATTATAATTCAATTACCGGCTACTATGTTCTTGTTTTAATAGCTCAAAATTCAACAAATATAATTAGAAATTATTTTAATTGTGAGAGGCTCCCTTGTGGGACGCCTATGTACGGCAATTACGGCGCGGCGGAAACAATACCTACCTGTGAAAAGACAAATTCGGGTAATTTGAGCTTATTTTTCCACACATTTGACACTGTCGTACAATATTGAAAATTCGCAGCTTCAAAAGTACGTTAAACAAAAGCAAAAACTACTGAAAAACACTGAAAAGTTCACTTCGGACTAGATTCCGACTTCAAACACACCGTAAGCTAAACCACGCTAAACGTAGTACGCTATAAGGGACCATGGGCCGTCGCGAGGGGTGGTGGGACGGTCGGCTCATTTCATTCTGGAAGACTAGCAGCGACGTTGCCATTAGTTCTAGGCGTTTCAGCACATTAAACAGTAAACATGTCCTTTAATAATAACGCATATATCCTCTGGTTAATAACATATTATTACGCATTCTTCTTTAAAAATAAACTATTAATTTAATTAAGAAATTGAGATTTATTGATATTCGGTGAAGGTTTTAAAGTCACCTTTTCTGCAAATCAAACTAGGTAGATAGGCGCAAATTTGAGATGTGGCAATGTCGCCTTCTCTATCTCAGTTGGTTTTTACAGTACGTAGTCAACCTCCGATTGTTTGATCGGGTTAAAATGCAAAATGTGATATCTGTTCTTCCTAAATCTATGAGTTGTTCATATAAGAGCTTGTAGACTGGCTCGCTTGATATGTTGAATCAAAGCATTTTGCGTTGGAGGTATATTCTCAATTGCCCTGTTTTTATGAAAAGGAAACGTCTACACTCGTTAACAGTACACAAGGATGATGTGGCATCATATAATAGAACCACAAATCTTTCCATAGTACGCAAAATATCTTCATCTGGATCTCTTCCCATAAGCAGTTGTTCAAAAGCCGAATTAACATTAGGATCTGCTATCCAAACCTTCCAAGCTCCTTTCTTGCCCACCCCACAGAATGATGACACAGTATCGCAACCTGTTATAGAATGAAATATTGATAGATATCTGCAAGTCTCCTGTGAAAGCTGGGAACATAAGCCATGGATGCTATTTAATCTTTGATGTTTCCCAGTTCCAAAATCGAATTTTTACGAGTAGATGAAAACACACAGCAGTTATTTAGCTTTTTGGTAAAACAGCTGACAAGCGAAACTTTTATTGGAAAAATAATAGTTTGTACGCTCGAAGAATCAGTAATATCTTCTTCAGCAGAATTGGATCTTTCAGATATTTTGCCATCGTGGCATCAAGAAGCAGATGGTCGCCTTCTTCTGCATTATAAACATGCAGTCGATAATGGCCACAACTGCGTCACCATTTGAACGGTGGATTCAGATGTTGTTGTCATTGCAGTGTCAACATTTTTTAAAATTAAAAACATTTAACAACTCTGGATTGATTTTGGAACTGGGAAATATCAAAAATTAATTGGCATCCATGGCTTATGTTCCCAGCTTTCACAGGAGACTTGCAGATATCTACCAATATTTCATTCTATAACAGGTTGCGATACTGTGTCATCATTCTGTGGGGTGGGCAAGAAAGGAGCTTGGAAGGTTTGGATAGCAGATCCTAATGTTAATTCGGCTTTTGAACAACTGCTTATGGGAAGACAGATGAAGATATTTTGCGTACTATGGAAAGATTTGTAGTTCTATTATATGATGCGACATCACCCTTGAGTACTGTTAACGAGTGTAGACGTTTCCTTTTGATAAAAAATAGGGCAATTGAGAATATACCTCCAACGCAAAATGCTTTGATTCAACATATCAAGCGAGCCAGTCTACAAGCTCTTATATGAACAACTGCTTGGAAAAAGACTTTCAAGCTCAATTGCCTGATAATTGGGGATGGCAAAAAACTAACGACGGATTTCTGCCATTGTGGTCTACCATTCCAGATGTTGTGAAAAGCTGTGAGCAACTAATCGCTTGTAGCTGCAAACAACGGTGTTCAGCATGTAAATGTGTAAAAAACGGTCTTCGGTGTACACACTTGTGTGCATGTGAAGGACATTGTTCTGAAAACGATTAATAGAGTGTATTAACTATAGACTTAAAATACAATATTTAAGTCTATGGTATTAACTTATTTTATTAAAATGTTATTTTTATTTAGAATGTTAACTTATTTTTAATGTTCAAGTCATTTTTATGCATATATACGTTTGATGAAATAAAATATTATGAACATAAATAGAAGTTCATATTTTAGTAAAAAGGTTGGTGCATAGGGGGTGTTGGCGAAGGGATATATAAAAGAAAAATTTTGAGGGGTTGTTTAGGGTAGCATCTAGTTGTAGATGTATCGTATTAAAATTTTAATATCATTACTAAATTTGTCGACCCCAAAAACCTATAAGTTGATATCAAACACGAAATTTCAGATAAAATGTCAAAATTTTGACATTTATATAACAAGATGGCCGCCATATAATTAAAAACAGTGAAAATATTTTCAAATAAGTTATTTTAGTATAAAAAGTAAAATTAAAATGGGTTTTTACAAAGAAAAAAAAAGTATTTATATCCCTAAAAGCCGTTTTTTGACCCCCACTTTAATGACGTCATACGGGTGGTGGGGGGCCCCAAAATTTTGGGGTCTGGGGCGTTTTTTGATGCTTGGTAGCTATGTACTATCCATATCCAAAAATTCAAATTCGCCGCCAGCACTGAAATATTTTTATGCTATCCGACCCCACTATAAAGGCGGCATCCCACGGCGCGTGTATCGGCAAGCCACGAGCAAGACTCGCCGATACACGTGTCGTGGGACCGGGCAGCTATGGGGCAGCTCGTCATTTTTGGCGCGGCTCGGACATACCCGCTTTCTGTCGGTAAACTTGACGATACTCAAAGGAAGGCGAGCCTCTTCGAGCTCGGCTCGTGTTGTGTTTAACCCGATCCAACGATCCTCGAAACGAGTACGGAGGTTCGGTTCAGTATCAGTGTCGTCTTGACTTTTGTTGCGAACGGTTGGAAGGATGACAGAAAAAATAATTATGGAGTGGTCCAACGACTTGGTGCTCGAGTTTTTATCTTTCTACGAAGGTGAACCGGCGATATGGAACCCAAGGGACCCAGACCACAAAAATAGGAACCTAGTCCATGATGCGTGGAAACGAATTGAAGAACAAATGTCCAACAAGTTTACGGTGGCGGAATTAAAAAAAAAGAGAGATAGCCTAATGGCTTCTTTTCGAAAGCTTTTACAAAAAGTCAAAGACACAACAAAAACTGGGTCTGGATCCCAGAATGTATTCAAACCTGATTGGTTTGCCTTTGAATTCATGTACCGGTTTTTGCACGGTGTTTATATGCCGAATAAAACAACAGATTCGGAGGTAAGTTGGTTTATATAATTTCTGTCTTTACTTTACTATTATGCTAATTCAAAAGTAGTCGATTTTCGGGAATTTTTTTTACAGGGTAAACTTAACGGGATAGAAATTTATGTTTTATACAATAATTGTATGTACAGGGTGGTCCAATAAGAGGGGACGGCGGCTCTAACTCGAAAACCATTAATAACCTTGGGAAAAAAATATTTACGAGTAAATCGGCCATGACAAATCGCTGGAAATTATTTTCTAGTTCAAAAGTTGGTCGCTAGGGGGCGTAACAGCAATATAATACCACAGATAACATAATCCAGATGGCCATTGCTTACGGAACAGCATGTTTTCGATGAGACAGTTCCCACTTAATGACACAGAGGGCGCCTACAGCCAAATCTAATATTTTTAAAACGAACGAATTTTTGGAGAGACGCGATGTGAAGCGGCGTAGCCGGTTGTTCACATTTATAAGTAAATACCCGGTCAAACCCAGAGAAAAGGTATATTCGAACAATTTTTAACTCTATGATTCGAACATTTAATACTAGACAATTGGATATGAAAATACTGTAACAATAATAGTGGTACGTGCACAGTTTTTTTTTGCTAGGTAACTTAAAAGTCGTTAAAAACTCTAATTATTTAAAGATATAATTCTCACTAACTGAATATAATAAGGCCAATAAAACCCAAGTAATACTATTAAAATTTTAGCGTTTTTAATATGTGTAACAAATTTGTTTGACGAATTAACCTGTAACAATAGTAGTAGGTACGTGCACAGATTTTTTTGCTAGGTAACTTAAGTCGTAAAAAGGTCTAAAAAATAAATTAAAAGTCACAAATGGGGGAAAAATATTGAAAAATGTTTATACAAAATCACTTTACCATAACAAAATGTCTTTTTGACATGTCATGTGACGGATCTCGCTTAGTGTATTTTTAAGAAAAAAAGTATTGAAAGATATTGCAAAAAATATAATAGGAAATGGATAATATACCTAATAGGGAAGTAA